AAATATTGTTAATATTTCTAATTGGCTTGTAAGGGCATACATGTGAGTGCGTGAGATACGTCCACATCTAACTAGTAACGGATCTTTTGGTGCCAAGTGGTCGAAACTGAATAGGTTCTAAACGATGAGCTAGATTAAAATCGATTCGAAGAATATCGATGAAACGTGTCATCCATATGGTGGAACACTGAGCACAAGCACAGCTGAAAAACTTTGTAGTTGCGACTTACACTTATTTATTTCCTACACAAGACATTTTTTGATCGATTGAGTGATGACTCTGGTTTGTGCAAGTTTTCTTCATGCTCATTAAGATAGCAACCACTTTTAGTAAGCGAGACGTGTACTACTATTTTAACTAAGCTCCCTATTCCATGTTAAAACACGTAAGTAAAGTTAGCAGCAGATTCGAGTATTTCTTGTCCCGATTCGCTTTCTTATCTGTGTTAACTCTCTAACCACTTGTGTTAGGTGCAGAATTTTATGCTCTATCGAATGGTACAAGTTTCAACGGGAGTCATCGGGCAAAAACTACGACTTTTCCCGGAAATACTGTCATTTTCCCTGTGTAACAACAACAAATATCCTGTATCTCTTGTCCGGATTCGCTCTTCGACTTGTGTTAACTTTCTAATTAAGTGCGTTAGATGCAGAATTTAATTCTCTATCCAATGGCACTATTTGAAAGTGGTGTTATCCACCAAAAATACGGGGCTATACCCCAAATAGCGGGTCCAGGACCATATCTTGAGTATAATCATTGTCCGGATTGGTCTCATAATTTGTGTCATCTTCCTAATCAGGAATGGTGAATACGAAATTTTATTCTCTATCCAATGTACCATTTCCAGAGAGAGCCGTAGGACAAAACTGGATGGTTGAACCCCAGTTACTGGTTCCGACACTTGGTTTAACGGCTAACTTTCCTCATGAAATTTTATGCTCGGTGTTCCTGGAAAGAAGAATTGGAAGAAGGCGAGTCTGTATAGGCAGAGCCGTTATATCTTTTGCAATGAATGCATAGCAACATGGAAGTGGGAGTAACATTTCCAATGTTACGTACTTTGTTTATTATGCTCTTCATTGGAACTGTGTGATTTTTCTATTTATTCTGTTATGTATTAAACTGCATTATTATGTGATTCTCAAAGCTTACCGAAATCAGAACTGTTGACCTTCATGAAACGTGGTCAACACCTTAAAACACAAAGGCGAATGAAATCCATCAATAATATGCGAGAAGCTCTAGTAAATTACAAAGTCTACAAAAGCTATGCACATGTCAACCATTTCATTGATATTCTGCATAGCGTCTAACCATCGGTGGGTCGCATGAGGGAAGAAGATTCTATAGACGGCCAGTACTTGTACTACTGAAACACTCCGTCACCAGATCAATATGTTACGAATGAACTAATAAGCCCGGACATTAATAGACTGAAAATGAAGCTTTCAATAGTAAAATCTACAAAACGAGGATACAATTATTGCTCTGCGCAGAAGCGCTGGTAAAAACTCAGTAAACTATCCTTCACCAAACAATGTCTTTTTCAATACCCACCAATACATAAAACGAAATTTTCACCTACCGTTTCCCTTTCGACAGATAATGAACAACGTTGGAACAAACCAGCGAGAGCTTCCTTCCAAACCTAGGCGGCAAGTTTCAACATGTTCAGCAACAGCGATATTTTTCGTCCGTTCTTCCTTATAATATTATACCCTTCCACAGTAAATCAACTTTCTCCTACCACTCAATCCATTAAAAAGTAAACACAGCTTGTACAGCCAATCCAGACAAGGCTTACACTCTGGAAGTGGTGGTGGGTGAGGTATTTCTGGTATAACTCTCCGTTTATGCTGAATACCACGACATGAAAACAGCAGAATCAGATAGAGAATTAAATTCTGCATTTAACACATTCAATTAGAAAGTTAACACAAGTCGTAAAGCGAATCCGGACAAGAAATACAGGATATTTGTTGTTGTTACAGAGGGAAAAGGACAGTATTTCGGGGAAAAGTCGTAGTTTTTACTCAATGATCCTCCTTGAAACTTGTACCATTCAATAGAGCATAAATTCTGCACCTACCACAAGTGGTTAGAGAGTTAACACAGACAAGAAAGCGAAGCGGGACAAGAAATACTCGAATCTGGTGCTAACTTTACTTACGTGTTCGTTTGACTTTTAATTAGATTGTTTGAATCCATTTGTTTATATTATTAAGTGTATTTCGTGCTTTGGGATAATAGAGAAAAAATATTGGATAAATATGCATAAAATGTAAACCTTCTTCAAATGTTACATCCACACCGACATCTTGAACCTTTTTTAAAAGTCTTTTGGAATCGTCTTCTGTTATCTCAGCTGTGCCTACATTAATATACATCGGTGGAAATCCTTCAAATGTATAAAAAAGAGGACTAAAAAAAGGACTATCCAGCGATAATTCAGAATGATTAGTGCCCATTAGTATATTAACCATCCACTTGGTGGGGTTAATGCTGAGCATTACATCCGTAAGACGATTACGTGTATAACTTTCTCCAGATAGTGAAAGATCAGTCTGGGCAGAGAGGGTAATAGCACCACGAGGTACCGGTAATTGACGAGCAATTATAGCTTGAACGGTTAGCAGAGCAAGACCACCACCAGCTGAATCACCCATAATAAACATTTGAGATGGGAAAATATTAAGGCGAAGAAGAGCACGATATATTGCAACTGCATCATCAACAGCTGCGGGGAATTGATACTCAGGAATAAGTCGATATTCCACATGAAACATGGTAGCATTGAAAAGCTGAGATAACTAACATTCAAATCCACTATAATCTATCAAAGTATAAATCAATCTTCTAGATGCTAATATGCTTCAATTATCCTCATAAGTTCCTGTTTGAGATTTTTGTATAATGTAATAAGCATTATTTAACAAATTATCTCTTTGTGTGAACATAGTAATTAACTTACCATGAATATCATCTAACATATATCCTGCACCATGAAAGTAGAGTACTATTTTATTGAATTCATTCTGTAAGTTTTTTTGATGATGATCAACCCAAAAGGCATCTAGTGTATGTCCATCATGCTCGAACACTTGTTTAGTAACTTGACAGTGTGATGGTTTAGGAATTGCAGTAGCGAGTGAAACACTTGAACGTGTTGCTTTGATAATAGAAAGTGGATCTCGTAATGGATCAATTTCTGGTATCGGTTTCATTCGCAATATTTCTTTAAAGGCACGAAAGTCTACACTAAGTGTCGGTCGAGCTTGATCAGATAGCAAACAATGTTTCAATGATAACGTGGAATGTATTAGACGCATTAAAAGATATTGATGATTTGTTGAACCATATCGTAGAAGAACTGTAATAGCCACAATTATAAAACGAATAAAACCAACTTCTTCAGAAATCCGTAAAACGACATCATTTGTACCCTTTTAAAAAAATGATTTTTTCTTTCATGAGTATTTACTGTGTCATTTTCATTACTACTTACCTATCGAGTAAAGTACGTGCTTTTTTCTTTCTTGTTTTTAGTCCTTACGTTTATGTGTTTATGTCGTCCTTTTATACTTGACGTGCAGAAAAATACAACGAAATATTTGTCAAAATAAAATTGATCGATATTGAAGAGTGGATCATGGTTAACTTCAATGAATCCCAAAGATTGCAAGAACTATGTTTAGATTAAAATGCTAGGAAGGATGAAGATATATTTTGAATCTTTCATGTTAATAGAAAAAATCATTGATAACAGTCAGTTAAATAATATCAACATCAGCTCAAAAGAGGATTTAATTTAATGGACACGATGTGTGTATTTATTAATTTAATCATTATTAGAAAAAGAAAAGGATAACTTCGTTTGAAAAATTCATCACAAAAATCAAATGAGTATTCTCAATAAAACAAATTATTTATAAATCAATTTTCATTATCTCCATTGCTGAATTTGGTCGGTTGTGATTAAAACAACTTGCCCCACATTGATTACATAATCCTGAATAACATGTTGGATAGCCCCATTTTGACCTTTGTATTGCCTTGATTCACCAACAATACAACCACATTCGCATGGATCATTCCATACCCATTTTAATCTATGTACTCGACCTTTAGTTTGTATACCATATGTTCTATCACATACTTCAATCGCTTGACTATCGTTCCACTGATGCAAATTATAGATATAAGTAGATTTTCTAATAGCTATTGTTGACCAATCGATGCCATTTGTCATTACTTATTCTATTCNACGGAAGTGTTGTTAAAACGTGTTTTTTCGGTAAAAATGCGAAATTGGGGCGTTTTTAACGATTTTTGTCACGTTTGCTTGAAAATAAACTGTAAAAACGATTTCAAACGGAAAAATTCAATGGTAAACACGTTTAAATGGGTTTAAACGGTATAAACGCTTGATAGACGCGTTAAAACGCAGTTTTGACCGTTCATTGTCTGCCTGGGTAGCATATATGTAGATCTATTGTATTCTGATCAAGTACAAAGTAGATGTTTAGCTATTGTGAAATGCGTATGAAATACGATCGGATTTTTTTCGAACTGAACTATGCATCTAACTCTAGAGTAGGGAAACGGTATGCTATTCGATTATCCGTGATTAGTTAGGCGGGTCAAGAGGCGATGGAAATGTATTGGTGAGGGTGGAATAATGTGCAATTTCAATCTTGGCATCTTGTTGCTGGTGTTCAATGTTGAAACTGATGTTTTGGTTCTTTCAAATGGGTAGATGATGGTTTGCTTATTTGAGTCAGATCATAATGAATATGACAGTGAGCATGGAATGACTGAGGATTCAGTTACTTACTCTTTTGTTGAAAGAATCTGAATTTTCGATGACTGATAACTTTATGAGACAGCTGGAAATATTCACGCGACATACGATATCCTTTGTAATTGGACTGGGCAATATGTCTTTGAAATTCTATTGTCATGCCTGGCAAGTTCAATGTTGGAAGTGTCCATAAAAGTAAACGCTTTAAATGTGAAAGCACACAGATTTGATGTCAGTTGATTACTCTGAATGTGTGTGTTTGGCGCTGCAATGATACTGCAATATTTTGAAAACTTGAAACAAGTTCATTCATTTTTATTATGCATTGATATACAAAAGTTCAGTATATATTGTCGATCGGTATGGGCTCCTTTTTCAAAATAGGAGGGTACGTGTGTGGATCGGAGTGCATGGAAAAATAGACACTTACATATACATCCTAAGAGATCAACAGTGAAAGTTTTCAGAAAAGTAATTTAACAGAACGAAGAATGTTTTTCCACTAAAAACAATATTAATAACGAAAATTTCATAGTATCGTCCAATCAGATTTGTCAGAATGCTTTATAAGTTCTTCTAAAATAATTGCCAACTTTTTGATTATGAATGATGCTAAACATGTTTTTCTTTGATTTTTATTCCTTACAAACAGATGTTGGAATAAGAAAGTCATCGACAAATGTCTATGCTTGCTTTTAAAAATATTGATACATCAACAAAAATGAGCAAAATTTAATAAAGTTCTGTGCTTTGATATAGTATCATATGTGGAATCCGAATACATGCGTTAACACCCTGGTTGCATCATATTCTCTTGATTTACATAGATCAATACTGTAATGGTACATCTCCGTGACCACAGAGGGATCAATAGAATCCAATATGGAGGAATAAAAGACAAAACTGAGAGTCTGCACAACCTCCATAAATGAAGATGGTATATGAGCCTTTTCTTTCTACAAATCATCGTACTTATAAAAAATGCGAAGATATACGGTCGTCATAAAGTATATGTAGATTACAGTATCTTTCGAAGTACTGTTTTTCACTACTCTGACAGTAGTGCATTGCGTGATCATCAGAATCACGATCATAGTCATATTAACATTCAGAATCTCATACATTATCTGGAACATTTAATGCGTCACATATGAATCGGAAAAAAAACTCTGATCGTTCATGTACTACTTATAATAAAAATAACATACAATGCATATAAACAAACATGTCACTATCATCCTTTGAACGAGAGCAGCACAACACATTCTAAAAATAAACATAAGTCAAATATTTTCACTATGAGTACGTTGAAACAACTGAACAATGAACATATCTAAACGTGAATCGTTTGTTCTTCTATTTTGACTACAAATAAATCATGATGAATCTTGATCACAAGCAGTTTTTTTCTTTCGATAAGGATATTTCAATATTGATAACAAATCTCATTGTTTTTGACCTCTCACTCGAGATGATTTCTACATATTACCATCATCTATGTTATTCTATTCATCATATCTTATGATTATCGATATACATTGAATTGACATCATATTATATTTAAAAACTTTGAAACAGATTCTCAAATGTACTGACACCCAGTGCCATCTCTTCATTTATTGTCTACTTATATAATTACATATAGTTTTGTCCAATGATAATTTTGCATTTAATCATATATACATTAGAGTCATTGTGACTCGTTTTACTATAGATAGTTTGAAAAAGTCAAGACTCATTGTAGAATAAAAATGCTTCGAATATACTCAAGTAAGATGCTTTTATCTTTTGTTCTCTCCTTCAAAAAGTCTTTTCTTTAGATCAGCCAATGTTTCGATTGATCTATCGATCTATGTCATCGTTACCTACATATGAAACATTAAAATTAAGTCAACCGAAACCACATGTAACTGTTGTTGAATTAAATCGACCAACAAAACTTAATGCTATGAATAAACAATTATTCGAGTAGGAAATAAAATTTCATTTGTTTTTTCTTTTTACATTTATATATTCATAATAAAACAAGATTATTTATTTGAAGTGATTTGAAAACATGTTTTGAACAATTAAGCATTGATAAGACATGTCGAGCTGCTGTATTAACTGGTGCTGGCAAAGCATTTAGTTCTGGTAAATGTTTTTTATTTATTTCATTAATTCAGAATTTTAATTTAAGAATTTTCAAGGTATTGATATTAAATATTTAACAGTTATGGCTGTTAGTGAACTTGGTCAAATTGATGATACAGGACGTAAAGCATTATATCTTCGACGTATCATACAACGAGTACAAGACTGCTTAAGAGCAGTTGATAAAGTGAATAAAATAAAATATTCTTTTATTTTGATATCAATTTTGGATTTCTAGTGTGAAAAACCAGTAATAGCTGCTATTCATGGTCATTGTATAGGTGCTGGTGTTGATCTATCAGCTTGTTGTGATATTCGTTATAGTTCACGTGAAACAAAATTTTCTATTAAAGTATTCATATTTTCATAGATGGAATATTAAATTGTATTAGTCTTTGTTTTTATAGGAAGTTGATATGGGTTTAGCAGCTGATGTAGGTACTCTACAAATTTTACCTAAATTCATTACAAATCATAGTCTTTTTCGTGAACTTGTTTTTACATCACGAACATTTGATACTAATGAAGCACAACAAATTGGATTTCTTAGGTATGCTGTTCTGTTATTGTTCAGTATTTCATCTATCGTTCGTAATTTTACAAGTATTTTCGTATAGCGCCAATTGATTGAACTGAAAATTATTCACTAGACTACTTTACATTTTGAATAAAAAAAAAAAAAAAAGTAAACTAGCAGAGAATCTCATAAAATGTTGTCTTTTGATCATACTGAACGATTTTGTCTTAGAATGAAAAATAAAAACTATATTTTATTTTACTTTTTAGTCGTGTATTTGATACTCGTGAAGCTGTACTTGATGCAGCTATAGATTTAGCAAGTGTAATTGCTCGTAAGAGTCCTGTAGCTGTACAAGGTTCAAAAATAAATTTAAACTATGCTCGTGATCATACAATAGATGATAATTTTAATTTTATAGTATGTCAATAGATTAAAATATTCTTTTATACAATAAGTTTTTTATTGATTATTTTTTATAGAGTACATGGAATAGTAGTATGTTGATGAGTGAAGATATTGTAAAAAGTGTTATGGCATCAGTGGCATCGAAAGAGCAAAGTAACAAAAATACATCAAATGAAGTTGAATTTGCAGATGTTTAAAAAAATAAATCGTCTTTTTATGGTCTTTTTTTTTTCTTCATTTTTTTATGCGCAAAATTTAGCAGAAATTCTTAGATGACGTTGAATAGCTTGTTTTAAATCATGTTGAGTGTTTTTCGTATAACCAATATTTTTCTTCTCTGTTAACCGTTCATGTAATAAACGACTTTGCTCATCGAGAGATGTCTTTGAACGTTTTATAGAATCATGTCGATTAGCTAGATGATATTGATGATGTATTGTTAATGCTAATTGTCGACTATTTGATTGATATGTTTTATCTTGTATATTTGTAAATAACTCTTGAAGATCTGATGAAAAAGAGTTACTATCCAAATTTTCATTCAATGGATTTCGTTGTCGTAATGTTTGATCATGTTCTTTTTTAATGAAACTTGTATATTGGTAGACTGGTTTACATGGATACAATTGACATTGTTGAGAAAAAAAACGACAAGGGATTCCTGTAGAAGGTGGTGTCATGGGTGATGATGGACGATGTTGTATAGTTCCTAAAAATATAGAGATGATATTCTAATGTCGAAAGTAAATATCTGTATGAAATGGAAACTAGAATGTTCATGGAGACAATTAGAAAAGTTTTTTTTTTATGTCTAGGGAATGTAAAAATAATCAGAGGGATTCACAAATAGAATCCTTTTAATTCTATCGTTGTACTGAATAATTCCTAAAAATCCATCGTTACTACAGATGTGTAGGACCAAATTTTCTTTTTGTTCACGATCCTAGTCTCAGTACTTTCTCTCGAGTGTTGATCTATATATAGGGTAGAAATTTGCAATTACCTTCACTCATGACAGATGTTGTTAATATACGATCACAAATCGTACATAAATAACGTTTCGTTATCATATATGTGAATTACTTTCTGAGAATTCAGTAAAAGGCTAATGAAGAAATATATGTCCGAAAAAACAAAATATAGAATAAAACAATTTCCCTATGATCTGCTACATAGTGTTTCACATTCTAATCCGACAGAGTTTGTGCTAACAGATTTTTTTTTTGTTACAATGGTTTCATTTATCTCTAGTCTTATCGTAATGAATACTATTGATTCGGATTATAAGTGTAGTTTTCTATACCATTGTCATTCAGAAGTATTCGAGGTTTTTTTTGTTCGATTTGCGTTGTGTTTGTTGATAATGAATGATGTTGTCGTTCATGTGCAATATGATTAATAGTAATATCAAGTAGTTGTTTTCGTTGTCGTTCAAGTTTTTGATCTATTTTTAAACGTTTACAAGTTCGTTCATATTCATCATACAAATTATTTAAATTTTGATGTAATTTTTCATCATACATTTTATTTAAATATATTTGATGATGACGTGTTCGTCGAGATATTTGTTCAATACGTTTCAATTGTTCTGATGGATTTGTCCTGGGATTTTTTACTAACATCACTTTTAGTCTTTTAATTTTGCTTAAAAAATAAAAATACCATTGATGTATTTCAAACGATTAATATATAGAAAATGAAGGAATGAAAAAAAAAACCGACATATTTTATTCATATATTTGCTTGTTAAAACTATAACAACAATTGACAGCAACGATAAGCTTTATTGTTGTAGTGAAATAAGAATCCAAATCAATGTCGATATTGCTTGATGAATGTGTTTGCGTGTGTTTGTAGACAAAAATAAAGTGCTTTAAGAATGAGTGGTTTGACTTGCCAATCATTTATAATTGGAATATTTTCTTTTTGGCATCAGTAAAATTTTGAAAAAAAAAATTAAAATGAAAAGTTTTAATACAAATATTGATTTAATTTAATAAACAATTTTTCTCTTAAATCATCTTAAAAAAGTGAAATTTTAAAAGGATTTTTGTCGTATAAATAAATTACTACTTTTCATTATATTCTTTTTAATTAACTATAATAATAAAGTGACAAACTAATGGTTGTATATATATATATATATGGTTTCTTTTCTAGATGGTATTATGTTTTCATTATAATCGCTTGTTTTTACTCAAGCCTATTTTGCCAAATATATTTTCTTTAGTAAAATGTTATTCTCGTACACCAACAGTAGTTCGTTATCGTGCACAATCAAAAATGTTAATTACACAAAAGATTGATACACCAGAATATCGAATATTATTAACACCAGGTTTAATGAAATTAGCTGAATTATTTAAAGCAAATAAACATGAATTACGTGTAGCTGGTGGTGCCGTACGTGATATATTAATGGGTATTAATCCACATGATGTTGATTTTGCTACAACAGCAACACCTGAACAAGTTAAACAAATGTTAACCGATGCAAATATACGAATGATTAATTTAAATGGTGAAAAACATGGAACAATAACAGCTCGTATTGATGATAAAGAAAATTTTGAAGTAACAACATTAAGAGTTGATGTTGTTACGGATGGAAGACATGCTGTTGTACAATATACTCAAGATTGGCAATTAGATGCTGGTCGAAGAGATCTTACAATCAATGCTTTATTTCTTGGTTAGTTTAATTTTTAAATAAATTTTGTTTAAGGAAATATTCCACACTCCGAACATGAAATCCTTGTAATAATAATGATTATCTTTCATTCCAAAGATGCTTAGAACATAGATCATGTATATTTGACACCGATAAATACTATCAGTTTTTAGTCACTCGATTGAACTCAAAGTTTTTTCTTCTATGAGAACTTTAGTCAAGTTGAAGTGCATGCTTATTTTTCTCTTCAAAATGTTGTTTCTACGAAATTCTGCAGCCGTCGAAATATTATTACCATTGAAAAAAATACATCCTTTGACGGTGCTTCTAGTATTTTGTTTCTCTTGAGCTCTAGGAACAATATTTCTTAAAGAAAAAATAACACGCATCTCGATTTGATTCTTGTTATTAAAAAAATTACAGCTCGAAAAAATGAAGTAATGGAGTTTTGCAAGGGAACTTCTGACCCATAGCTCTTCTTGAAAGAAACATCTGGGAATTTTGAGTGTAGGACAAATTTTGCTCTACTTATGAAAATCTATGTGTTTTGATAATTTTCCGCCTGTTCATTCATGAGAAAGTCCGAAAATGAAATCCTCTTAATATAAAACAGTGCAAATCATGTCTTGTTTCATTAAAAAAAAATATTGAATGATTACTTTGTTTTGTTTTTGAGAGTCTTATTTACAAAATAAATCTAAGAAGAAATACATCTAGTAAACTAAATTTAATTATTTAGATTTGGAAGGAACTGTATATGATTATTTTAATGGAATTGATGATCTCAAACATCGTCGTATTTGTTTTGTTGGTGATCCTATTGAACGTATTCGTGAAGATTATCTTCGTATTCTCAGATATTTTCGGTAATTATTAAATAATGAATTCTGTTTTTTTTTTTTTTTTTTGAATTAAATATTTTTATTAAAAAGTTTTTTTGGACGTCTTGCAAATGATGATGCACAACATGATAAAGAAACATTAAAAGCAATAAGAGAAAATACTAGTGGTTTACAAAGTATACAAAAAAAAATTAATTTATAAGAGAGTACATAGTTGTTGTTTTTTTTTATTATTTAGATATTTCAGGTGAACGTCTATGGATTGAACTAAAACGTATTGCTGAAGGACGTAATGCAGGTCCAGTATTAAAAGTAATGCTTGAACAGGATATTGGTCAATATCTTGGTATGATTTCTTCTTTTTGTTTTTTTTATTTCAATAATTTATTATTTTAAATTTTCATCATAGGTATTCCTTCGAATGTTGATTTAAATCAATTAGAAGATCATTGGAGAAAATGTCATCAATATAATCCACATGCTCTTACAATTCTAACAAAACTTTTTCATAATATGGATGAAGTAAATAAGTCAAGGAAAACTTCTTTTATAAAATTGTTTTTTTTTTGTTTCTAATTTAGTTATCAAAATTTGAACAACGTATGAAATATTCCAATGATTGTCGTCGTTTATCTCAATTATTAGTGACATATCGTGATTCAATATCTATTCTTGATTCATCATCAATTGATCCACTTAAATCATATAAAGATTTACTTATTGATTTATATTTATTTGATCCAAATATAAAAGAAAAAATTATTGAATTACTTAAATATCAATATTATCTAAATGAAATTCAACAATTAATTGATTGGACAATACCAAATTTTCCAGTATCTGCTGGAATGCTTGCTTTAAAAGGTATTAAACAAGGACCAAATTATAAAGTAATTCTTCATGAACTTCGAGAAGCATGGAAAAAATCACATTTTAAAGCAAATGAAAATCAATTACTTAATGAAACCTTGCCAACAGTATTAAAAAATTTAACAAAAATACAACCATCAATGATAACTAATCAGAAAACAATTGTTAATCCGCCTGCATTTGCACTTCCGAAAAGACGTAAACATAAAGAATCAAGTTCAGATAATTCCAAAAGAACTGCTAGTACTTCATAATAAGAAAGATTTGTTTTTGTTTGTGTTATTTGTTTTTTTAATAAAATTTAAAAAAAAAAAACTTGTTTAATTACGGTATAAACATGAAACAAAAATTCAATGAAAATAGAATATTAATTATAATCAATATTGAAACTTGGGAAAAAATGTTCTTTCAAGACATTGAAAATGAATAAGAGAGGTGATAAAATCAGTGGCTATCACAGAATACAAGTTGAGATAGATTGTCAAACTCTATTATAAAATATAGTGAATGCGTCAAAAACATTAAGATCAATATTATTAACCTTTTTGCTTCTTGTATTTTTATAATGTTTTTCAATGAGCTCGGAATCTTTCTTCATGGATCATGATTTTAGAGTACTTTATTTTGTGGGTCGATGCTGCATCTTTCACCGTTATTATTTACCTCTCTTATATTGAAGAGGCCTGATCATTGATAATTTATTTAAAAAATATTATTGATTCTTCTTATCGAAGACAAAGGATATATCTAACTTTTTTTGATTATTTCCTCAAACTTTTCTCCTTCTAACTCAACAAAATCTTACATGATCATATCTTCGAACTTTATCCCATCATTCTGTCGAGTTCATATGATAGATTCAATCCATGCAATAAGCGTATTAATGTTTCTCTGTGAACAATCACACGATTCACATCTGATACAATTGGGCATCGCTTTATCTGCTGTAATTTTGAAGTATCTCTTTGTTTTTAGAATGGACATCGAGAAAAGTTCACTGATGATGAGATTTTGCTTGAGTAGTTCATTTCGATGAATTTCTCTCTTTAAACTCAATAAAATGAATAATATATGCTCTTATCGATAATATTACTAGATCCTGCTTTTCATAACTTATAGTCTCCAAGCACCAATTGCTAAATGCTTTTTTCTGTGGATAGTTTGAAGTTTCACTCATTTGTTGATACTATTCGTCAATTCATGTTTATTTATCGAAACAGTCAAACATATATGTGATAATGTTCATTGTTGTCTCATATACTTTTTTTGCCATATTATCAAACTTCGTGACATCTCCATTTGTGAGCACAATAACACCCAGATCTCTCTTTTCATTCGCCATCATTCCATGTGTGACTCCTATCATCGATCCTCTATGTCCAATTAGTCGTCGATTGTTCAAAGTTTGCCAATGCCATAATAAACCGAATTGAACAGAGGATTCCTGATTTTCATTTTGATGTCGATTAATACGGACCATTTCGTGTGTCGATGAACGATTTCGAAGAACTGACGGAACAAAACCGTTAAGAAACGAGCGAAGAAAGATTGATAAGGAACGAGCTGACATGCGCAGGAGACCAGATGGATAGTCACTCACGCTGAAATGGGGTACGTAGAGCCAATCAGATGTATTTGATGCCTAGAACATTCGTTATGATAAAAAAACACCGATAATCAACATCTATTGATTGCATGAATTACACAATACTATAGTCTGAAATCTAGAGTCAGACGTGTCAAATTCAATTTTATCATTTCAAAGAACTTTGAAAAGTCTCGAGAGAAAAAAATGACTAAATCTACTGAAACTTTACTTGAGTGACGTGCAGTTGAGGTGTCATTTGTTGCAATTCTCCAAGCCACGATGCATTGTACACATAATGTTCTATCAAATTGTCTTTTCTATCAGTAAAATCTGCTAACCGATAGCCCGCTTCTTTCTGTCCAATACCCAGCTGATTCAGTATGTTATCTCGAACATACTGCTCAAACGATAAGCCTGATATTCTTTCGACGATGTAAGCAGCCATAGCAGCACCAACATTCGAGTAATATGTCATTTTACCTGGTGCTTCGGTTAGCCAGTTTGCTCTGTTGCTAATGAACTTGGAAATAGTTTGACCCAGGTCTCTTTTCAGAAAATCATCTCCAGGCAAATAGTGTCCGAGCTCTTCTTTGAGATTCGGTCCTAATCCTGTTGTATGTGTCAGTAAATGTCGCATTGTAATTGAGATATTTGAATAAAGTGGATGATACACTCTTATGGAAGAATTCAAATACTGATTGATGTCAGCATCGAGATCGAGAAGATTGGACTCGACAAGTTGCATGACTGCAACGGCGATGAACGTCTTTGAAATCGAGGCAAGAACAAAGATGGATTTTGATGCATCTATCGGATGGTTAGTTGAAATAGGCGAGTGATAGCCAAATGCTTGCTCGTACAGAATATCGGTAGTATTGACAACAATAGCTACAAGTCCAGGAATATGAGCATCTCGAAGATGATTTTCGATCGATGACTTTGATGGAGGACATTGAGGAGCTCCAGCAACAACAGAAGCAAACAAGGGCAAGAATAGGAACATCTTGACATGTATGATTGCATCCAACGTTGTCTGTTACATTTGAATAAGGATACTTAGCGATTAAATTCGTTGTTAATGTTAATCCCTTGCTAATTTTACAGGTAAGCCCATTCTCTTGCGAAGAAAAATGTTACAAAGAAAGTTTTTTCTTCTGTAAGAAGTTACATTTTTGGATCGAATTTGTTTTCTCTTTCCCATGTACCATTAAACTTAGGAAAATAATAGAAACTTTGGTATATATATATATCAAAGTTTCTACTATTTCCCTAAATTCAATGGTACATTAGAAAGAGAAAAAAATTCGATCCAAAAATGTAACCTCTAACAGAAGAAAAAACAGTCCATGTGGATCAGTATTTGGACTCATTTTTTCTCATTCCAGTAAATCACAGTATTTGCAAAATTATTGATGGAAAAAGCTTTTTGAAAAAGTTAAAAAAATATATTTTCCTATGTAACTCAACGAGCTCTATTTCATGATAGCAAAACAAAAAGTTTTTGCTGAAGTTTTGGATTGTGCGCACCTTACTTACCATCATTTTTTCTACAGTTTAATCCACAATACTACGTCAAGCAGACGTGAAAATTTGTTGATTTTTGACAAAACAAAAGGAAAGAGCAATATTTCTGTTGTTTTTTTTCGATGGAATGTAATTCATTTTTGTTACGTAAAACGGTGGAACTGCACGAACAAAACAATGTTTTTAATTTACTGTCGATAATTTCTTATTCTTTGATGCTTTTTTAAAATGTTTTGTAAAGATGAGTCTTTGGAAGACATAAAATCACTTTTTAACAGTAGAAGTTTGTTTGTGAGAAAGTAATTTACATACTTAACTACTATAGAAAAATATCTTAGGCAGCAATCATGTACGCATATGAGCAAAACAAGTTTATTTTTGTCATTACTGACGTCAGATGCGTGCTTACATCTAGATTGTTATTAGCTCGTTAAGCTAATATCATTATCAAACGGTATTTAGGTCACATTTGATTACCTTTTTTTTCTGCTACTCAGATAAACTAGTCACACATGCATATATAAAACACATGATCGCCTACTTTATTTTCTCTCGCTATAGTTAATATGCATCACGGAAAAACAACACAAGAATCACTTTTATCTATAGTCGCGAATCGTTACTCGAAAGCCATTTTTCTACATTATTTTGTTGCTCTTGGTAACTATAATATTCCTTATCTGTATAAGTAACTTCAATTTAAATCTACTACTGAACGACAGCATTATGTTTTATCTCATAATACCGATCATTTTGTTAATAATTTCCTACATTGTCTACAAGAAGCACAGTAAAAAAAGTTATTGTGTTTCAAATATTCCTGAATACGATCATGCTATAATTATTGGAGGCAGTCTTGAAGGAATAACTACCGCTGCTTATTTATCAAGATATTTCAAACGTATAACAATTATCGAATCAGATGATGTATTAAATGATACTCTCAGTAAATCCACACCCAATGAAATATTAGATTATCGCTNATTCGTAGAAAACTATGCCCGACTAATTTGTGTATACTACTAGGAAAATATTAGTTCACTTCAATGCGTTGAAAAGTATCCTAGGTATGTAAGAAAAAATACAATGACAACGACGGCTTACATGATCTATAATATTGTTGCTGTCGTGAGAAATACAGATATCAATTGATCGATTTTTACTGTGAGAAATCCATGGATCATTTTGCTTAAGAATTATTTTCGAATACTGTGGTGATTTGAAACAATACTTGATTGAAAATTGCAGATCAATCAGTTGAGTGAGTTGTGAGCATATTTTTCGCCATTTCTCAACGTCAATATAAGAAGAATCTTCAACTTTGATGTCTATTGTATCATATGAAAGTTCACATGACAAACGTCTTAAATTGGGCATGCTAAGAAGTAATAACTCGAACAGAGCAAACGGTAATAATTTCATTTGTAACTTTGCTTCGAGGCGAAACTCAACGATGGATTGACAACCATTATCTCGGATCAATTCGAAATCACTGAAAATAAAATCCATACTTTACAGTCATATCTGAATTTTATGTCTTTCTACGAAAGAAGAAACTTACTTTATCAGCGGCTCTTCGAATTTTGCCACCTTGACGCTTAAGTATTCAATACGATCGAATCTTTCAAGAATCACAATGAGATCACCGGTGTCTTCGATTTCAACAGTTAGATGTGTCATTGTACAGTGATTTATTTCTTGTAAATTCAGGAAACCAGTTTCGATCAAGGACAATTTTTCTAAGGAAGGCAGCTCTCGTCTCTGTCGCTTTGGAATGTGATCAAAATATTCGAAATTGGTGCACATTTTCATGCTAATAAAATCGCGTAGTGTATCATCATTAGTCCCTTTTTTAAGACTAATTTTCAACTCTTTGAGCTTGTTGAGAAGAGCTAGTTTAGGTATATAAAGATCTAGTTCATCAGCGTAATGATCAATAAGTGTAAGACTATCTAAATTCGGTAGTACTTGTTCCAATGATCCGATACATTGACGAAACAGTGCCAATTGTCTGACACCTGGCTCTGCATTTGAAAGTATTAGTGAACGTACTTTGTGGCCAAAGCTTGATCGTAGCATAATACAGTATGTATGAAATTGACTCAAACTCAACTGTCTTAAATCAATATTTTGTCGATAATCGTTAATTGTGCAATTGAGTCGATGATTGAGATCATTGAATGCGTTGAGAACATTAAATGAACTCAGATAGGAGCAGACAAGTAATAATAATTCATCAGGTAATTGTTCAAGCGGCATGCCTAATATTTTTTACTGCGATAACCAAGTGGCGTGTTGCAGTCAATTTAATCTATTTTTTGGATTCCAGTATCTAAATTTCAAAGTCATTTTGACAATTTGAAATAAAAAATAGCCTCTATTTTGAAAACATTAACCTGAAACGTTCTAAAATTGGTCGGTATCAGAACCACCAAGGAGTTAGTAGATCTGTCATATCTGGCTGATGACTAGCTCATAGAAACTAATGAGTTGTTTTTACCTTTATATCATATTTTGATTGTCTCAATATCTTCTATCAGTTAATACTAACATCAGCGTGATGAAGCTCAACAAATAAAAGACAAAAATTCGAAAAAATATTTCCGTCTACACGGTCACCAAGAAATTCCTGTACCGGATATTGGGGCACAAAGCAAGTATGCTTGTTTATGCTTTTCTGTAAGACCGTGCATTTTTTTCATCTGCATATCTCCAAGCGTGTCTCTTCTTCTGTCTGCTCCTCATAAGACAATGGTGACAAAAAGGATAGAAAATAGACAACAAGAACGGTAAAATGCCATATTGGTAAAGAACTCACACGGAGGTAGAGAAGAGAATCTACAAATTACGAAGAGTAACGATGAATCAACATTGCATATAATTATATATTTTACAAAAAGGAGACAAAATAATATAGATGTACAAATGTTAGGACAGAAAAACTGTAACTGTCAAAACAGGTCTCCTTTTTCGGTTATCCTGTATTTGTATGCTTCTGAACAAATTATATCTAGATATTATTCATATCCTGCATCTTTGACTTATATCACTTAGTACATGTGGTATAAATATAAGACTTAGCGGAACACGCATAGGATAGAAATCGAGAAAAAATTCTTTGCTATCTTTCTTACGGACCACCCTGTGCACGTAGTCGATATGGCTAATGCAAAACTTTTTTGCACTACGATATTTCAATATATTTATCAAGTCATCTTCAATAAAATGTTACAGTACTTACATCACCTAGAAGTGATGGTTGTTTGGTCGTAGTTTTGGTTTATTCCTACTATTTTTTTTTCTTAAAAGAAAAAGTAATACTGCGTGCAAACCACGTATTTCACTTACTTCCGTCGATTACTTATAGAAAAAGGTAAAGAGAAAGTGAAAAGAAGAGAGAATATAACCAAAAATACATGCGACACATGAGTAATCAAATGTGTTTTGCTTTCCTTTTGTTTCTTTGCAAGAGTCACCTTTTTCTTTTTTACCGTGAGTGAATGAAGAGCTATAGATGAATTTGCATGAGAGTCACTTGTATATTCCAGCTTAGCTCTTTCAATTCTGTAATTTCTGCGGTTAGCCGAAAAAACTTTTGTTGAGACAGAACCAGTCCTCTCATCAAAGTCATCAATGATCGTTTCACTAGCAACTAGCGAAAAATCGAATACAAGAGAACAAGCCACATCGTCTGAAATAAAGAATAATTCGAAACTTTTGAAAAAAGATTAAGATCATCTTTAAAAAGTCTTGAAATTATGACTCTATCGCATTTCTTCGTTTCTGTTGTCTAATGTTAGCGCTGACGAGTTCTCTCAAGATTTTTTCACGTAATTTTCTATCTATTTCGCACTTTCACTTTATGTGAATAAACATACCAGCTGATAAGTCATATGATGTCAGCGACCAAAAATGTCTTTCCGGCGTAGAAACTGCAATCAGGATCGAATATATGAACCTTATTGAAAAATGGTGGTACATTGCGACGGTATCTCGATAACAGTTGTTAAAAGTAAAAGAAAATTTTTTGAATGAATGGAAACAATCAATCGTTCAACTTTTGGAAAAACAACAAGAGATGATAAGCCAATTGTTTGGCCCATACAAATCTTCGAATTATATGTTCAGTTAGAATTAGTATTAGGTACTAAAAATAATTGCACTATTTTTCTTTTGCATGTGATCGAAATCATTTTTTGGCCCCCGTTCCTCTCCCGACGTCCCTGGAATTCTGCACGAGTGCAGCTGAGAAACTTATTTTCGATTTATCATTATATGTTTAGTGCCTTTGCTAGAAATTTCTATATTGATCAAAGGTCACTTGGCATCCATCGATGGTCTGGTTTTATATTCTATCCTATTTTCTTCTCAGTCTCACTTCTAGAAGAGCTATAACTCCTCTCTACAAATGGTCAATCCATTCGCGTGTTCTCTACTGTTGCTGTGCTTAATGGTGATGTATTCAAATTTAAGCCTTGTTGATTGTCGAATTTTCACCATTCCGGTCGAATAGATTTTCAGTCAAGGTAGCATGCTCCTCAGCCGATGACGATTATCGCCCGATCCAGAATAACTGAACAATATTCTTTTATTAAACTAATAGAAATAGTAATGTGATAGAAGATTCACTCGAATATCAATTGTCCTAAAATCAATTCGTTCTTGAAAATCAGTTCAATGAAAGTCTTGATTGTTTTCTATTCAACCAATTGAATCGAATGTCTCATTTGTCGAAGATGAGCATATCGATATTCATTGATCATCACCTTTCTTCAAGCTATCAATGAGCTTTGTTGAATAAAAGAAAGATGAAGATTTGATTATCCTCTAAATAACACAAGTGAACGTTTCTCAGACACGTCAGATCAAGTATCCTCTTTTGACATATGTTATAGAAATGAGCATCGTCTGTTCTTGTTGTATAATCGAAAATCGAGAAAAAAGTTTTTGGGCGTGGGTGTGGAGTAAGAGAAGACTTGTACTCACACCTTTCATGTGCTTATAGACATGTCTTTATGCAATCGAATTTCATTGGGCCAATAAATTTTGGGACTATTTTTCCATGTTAGGATGAGGCAAACTACGTGATAAAATTCGCAAAAATACTCCGTAGATGCGCAGTAGAGTGATATTAATAGTGAAAACGTCATTTCTGTAATTATCTGTACGGCTATATAATCATCAATACGAGATAGTGACTACACTTCATGTTAAGCAGTATACGAGGGTGAGTATAGAATTGCTTTTGAATTTGCATTTATTGTGATGAGAATGCATGTGTCATAGTCAAGAATGAGAAAAAGTACGAAAAATATTTGTCTATCGACGCAATTCTTTTAATGAAATTTTATGACATATGCACTGTCGTGTCGTTTCTCCGACTGTGATTTTGATTAAAACAAGCACTTGAATTGAAGAAAAAAGTAAGGTGCGCACAATCAAAGAAAGAATACATTATACTTTTAATCAACATCAGTGTGGGTACCTGCTGGTAGAACAATTGTCAAACAGAGAACAGTTTACTAGATGAAAGCACATGGGTGGGTCGCATTCCGTTCGAGAAAAGACGGCTGATGTTGTAACAGCACGTTCTTCGAAAATCTATCAAAAGAAAGCTACCCTAGTGAATTCTATCGTCTGGCTCGATATCAAAGTTAACACTACTGAAGACAATCTTCGAGCACAGCAACAACTTAGGAACATCAACAATGAAGTTCGAACTTTTGATAATCCACATGAATGTCAAGAATATGTTCAGAGACTTCCAACCAATCATCAAATTGTACTTATCGTTAGCGGCCGACTTGGCCGAGAAATAGTTCCGCACATTCATTTCTTGAAACAAATCATATCTATATATGTTTTTTGTGCTGACAAGCAGAAAAATGAACTATGGTCTCAACCATACACAAAGGTCAGCTCATTGCATATTTCATTTTCATTCAATGGATTCTTGTTGATGTAGATAAAAGCAGTGGTGGTTCAACTCAGCGAGCTGCTTGATCGAATACATAGCGATCTCAACGGATCGTCAAAGCAGGAATTCAATGGGCCATGTCCGATCGACATCTTTATCAATAATCAGTCGACAGCTGGTCTCGATGGACAATATGTTTATTTTTTAGTGCTTATCAATATTCTCCTTCGATTAAAATCAAATGATAATGATAAACGTGAATTGATCTCTCTTTGCAAACAAGAATACCGAGGCCAAGAGGTCGAGGAATGGTTTATCAACGAATTCGAACAAAGTTATTCACCCGACAAAGCACTCTGGTGGTACACTCGAGAGTCGTTCCTATACAAAATGCTAAATAAAGCTCTACGCATGCAAGATTTCGATGTGCTCTTTAGTTTTCGTTGGTTTATTGCTGATATGCATCGGCAAATGAGTCAGTATCAATGTCAGTGTCCACTTCGTGTGTATCGTGGTCAGTTAATGACGAACACGGAAGTGGAACGTCTTAAACGATCTATTGGTAAATTGATCTCATTTAGTTCGTTTCTCTCGGCTAGTCTTCTTGAACAACAAGCTGTATTCTATCAGAATAATGTCATGACTTCGAGTGGGTTTCAGCGTGTACTTTTCGAAATCGATGCTGATCCCCAAGTCGTCATCAATAAGCCGTTTGCAGATCTCAGTTCACACAGCGATTTTGCTGGCGAATGTGAAGTTCTTTTCATGCTCGGCTGCGTTTTTCGTATCAATAATGTCAGTCATCGTGGTGTTGGACATGGATGGTCTATTCATATGACATTGTTCGACGATAGCGATCATCATCTGAGCGGAATGATTGAAGAGATTCAGGCTATAAACGAAAACTCTCCAGCGAACATTTCGTCATTCGGAATTCTTCTATGGAAAATGGGTAAATATGATCTTGCTGAAAAATATCTTCGTCGTAGCATTGAGGAATCTTCTTCGAATGATCCAGAGCTTGGATCAACATACTTGAATCTTGGTTTGGTTTATAGTGAGAAAGGTAATCATTCTGAGAGCCTTCACTGGTATAATGAAGCGTTGTTGGCTTACATGCAAATTAAAAAGCCAAATCATGTTGCCATCGGCAACTTATACAACAATATTGGCGAGGCGTATCGGCAAAGAGGCGACTGTGTTGAAGCAATGGATTCATACAATACAGCGTTATCCATTTTCGAGGAGGCGCACGATGAGCATCATTCAACCATGGGACTCATTTACAATAACATTGGTATTATTCATCACAATCAAGGAAACTATTTAGAGGCACTTGATTTCTATGAACGAGCACGTGCCATTTACCAAGAACGCTTACACGCATATCATAGTAACATTGCTCTCGCTTACAATAACATCGGTGCGGTTCATTTCAATCTCGGTAATGTGGATATTGCATTAGAATATTATGAACGGGCCGTATCAGTTTATTCAAAGTCGCTGCCGCCTTCTCATCCTGCTCTAGCTCTCACGTATCATAATATTGGTCGTGTATACGAGATGAAGAGAGAGTTTTCACAAGCCTGGCAATATTATCAAAAGGCTTTGGAAATTCGACAACATGCGCTGCCACCTCAACACCCAGAACTCAAAGAAGCCGAACAAAGTGTTCGGAATATCGCAGTCAAACTTTAAAAACGAATTCTCTACTCATTGATAATGGCTAACTAAAAGAAGGGATATTTTTTGCATAAGATCAATTTCTTGCTGAAAGAACACTTCAATGATAGGGGATGTGATATGTGCGTGTGGTTGCAGGTGCAAAATGGGTGGGAATGTGTGTGGAGTAAAAGAAGACTCACACATACACCCACCTACAAGTTACTTATCTAATGAATAAACTACATATTGCAAATATCAGCGTTAATTCGAGTGACTTTTCACAGTGATTAACATTTATGGGTGTCTTCCCTTCTTTTTGATCATTCTTGGTTCTCAAAAGAGGGTATAATTGATCCGTGGGAAATTTTTTCTACAGACAGAGTACCTAAACGAAGAAGATACATGTTCGAGAAATAATAACTATTTTAAAAATTTTTTTCGGGAGAAATCCGGCTTTCCATAGGATCGCATGAAGCCTGCTTATGATCCCCGTCTAACTTTGTCCGATCAGACGCAATCTTTTTTTTTTCGAGATACCTTAGACTAGACCTCAGAAAAGAGTTTAAGCTTTTTCAAAAATCTACTTTTCTTTTTTTTATGATAGAAACATACGTAAAGGTTCAGATGCAAAATCGGAGTACAGGCATTCATGGTTCTATAAATCCGAATAGGAATGTCAAAAACAAAAACACCCAATTTGACGTATAAGGACTATTTCAAGGTACCTATGATAAAAATGCAAGGGGGAAAAAGCGGATTCCGTCTATCCCGGATACGGTCGGGATACAGAGGATACGGAGGATGCATCGGGGATACAGAGGATACATCGGGGATACAGAGGATACATCGGGGATACAGAGGATACATCGGGGATACAGAGGATACATCGGGGATCCAGAGGATACGTCGGGGATAC